TAATATTTATCCTTTCGTCATTTGTGATAGAAAAGGGAGAGAGTACTTTATATTTAAGGGGAGAGATATAAAGAGATAGAGACTATATCATCGTACTTTTTGAGAGAACTGCATTTTAGGGGGAGAGAAATATGTTGAGAATTTTCATTGCATTTTATATCATAATGCATAGCTGTTTAAGTTTTTGATGTTTTGCAGTATTAATGTTTCGATTGGTGTTTTGATTGACATTAGTGTCACTTCTCATTCTAACATGCTTTATTATGATCATGTGCTTGAATTGTTATATTTATTGTATTATGTGCTTTTACGCTAGTATTTGAGCTTTTGATTTCAGGAAATAGGTATAATAAAGAATGTAAGAAACAGAGCTTGGGTAGATTAGATTTTTGTTTTTACTGTCTTGACTTTTATTGTCTAGTTTTCTCCCAAGATGTCAAAGGGGGGGGGGGATATTGGCAATTCTTTATACAAATGGACTGATATAAAAAAGTTGTAAGGTCAAGAAATCTTTTGGAGTTGGTAGTATAGTCCTTGAAAGAGGTCAAGATGTCCAAGAAGATCACATATGATCAAAGGAATGTAATTAGAAATATAAAGAGTGTCAAAGAGCAATGCAAGTTATGTTCTAAATTCTCAGTCGTAACTTGAATCACATTTTTCACATAACCTCCATTTGGCCTATATTTCTTCAAGTTAAAATGGGAGAATAGTATTTTTTTGGAGAATTAATGGTTGAAAAAGAAGGAAAATTTTTCAATTTATGAATAATATTATTTTATGGAAGTTTGTGTGATTGAAAATATGAGAGAGAAAAATTAAATCAAATTTAATTGGGTCAAACTGGGGCATAGAAAACATTAGAATTTGGAGAAGAATTGTGGCCCCTTGAATTAGCTTTCCAACGCATTTTGAATCACCTCAATCGAACATCAAAAAAGAAAGTATGATGAAAATACTGACGACTACTCAACTGTCGCTTGCCTATCGCCGGCTCTCCCCTTGAACGATAAAAAAAAATTGCCTCTTGCTAGCTCCTCACTCGAGCGACAATCTTGCTCGCAAAACACCTTAGTTTGCATTTTTTAAGAGTTTTACACGGCCCAAACTACCTAAACACTTTCAACTATAAATACCTAAACCTTAGCACGAATTTTGGGTGGTTGTTTATTGTGCCTCTTCTTCATAATACATTCATAACATCTTTTGAAGATCCAAGAGCTCATTCATGCATTGAATTAATCTTTTTATTCTTGAGATCCTATAACCAGGTATTGGAAAAAATATCAAAATTATTGAATCCAAAACATCGACTTGCTTAATATAACAACGTGTATCTTTCTCAATTGAGCTTCAAAGGTTGCCGGAGATTAAAAGAGGTTGGACTACAAGCACAAGAAGATTACTAGAATTGGAAATTCTTGGAGTTCCACTTGGAAGAGACAATTATAGATTAAAGTCACAATTATACAATTAATTGTCATAATTACATACTTATATGTCACAACTTATGCAATTGGTCACATATTATCAAATTAATTGATTACAAATTTATTTTTTATCACGAAACAAAAATATTATAGATCACAAGATTTATTTATTGTTACAAACCACCAATTTTATATGTCACAATTTATTTAACAGTCATAGATTTTCAAATTAGTTCACAAATTATCAATTCTTTAGGTCACAATTAAATAATTGGTCAAAAATAACTAAATAATTGATCATATACCCCCACCCCACCCCCACTGCCAATATTTGATCACAAATCAACTATATAGTTGATCACAATCACCTAAATTGTTAATCATAAACATTCTTCATCTCACCATGTCACCATTGCCACCATGACCAGCAACACAAGCACCACAACACAACCGCCACCACCATTGCTAAAATTGTCGCCAATAAAAACCACCTCAAAACCAAAACATAAAAACCACCACTACTCCCAAAACTAATAAACTGAAAACACACCAAATGCAGCAAACTACCACCATCATCATTCACCTGCAACAACACTCAAAAACACTCCATCGATGATGATGCAATCTCTACATCAATTGTTCAAATAAGAGAGAAGCTACAACCGCGTAGAGCAACATCATCGAATCTTAGATGTCGCACGCAAATCTTCTCAAGCGGGGGACTACAACCTCCAGCGACGATGACACTCAAATCTTAGACCTCTAGCAATCAGGCAGTTTGTAGCGACTTTAGCCATAATGAGCCAATCAATAGTCATGACTCCATGGTGAGCCACCGTCGCCGTGAGCTCGACGATGGTCTTCGACAGTGAGTGCGACAGTGCTTAAGAAGTGGGTTAGGTGGAGAGATTGAGAAGAGAGAATTTGGAGAGAAATGAATTTTAGGTTTGGGATTAAAATGGATTGGGATGGAGTTCGAACGATTTATTATTATTATTATTATTATTATTATTATTATTAACACTTGATTAAAAACTTATTATCTGATTTTTGAACTTGATCTTGAAAAGCTTGGTCTAGTGTATTTTTCACAACTTTTTTTTTTTCAAACTCATTTTCAAGCATACATTTTTCAATAATATAATTTTGTACGTAAACTTCAAATTTTTTTCTTATATTTTAATCACACATCCTAAAAAAAAAAAAAAAAAAATCACTATTATAAAATTCATTTTTACAAAAGATGGAGTTAATCATAGCCTTAAATTCTAGAACTTTGCTCTATACTTGGGTCTAATTTAAAGAAAAGGAAAGCGTAGAGTGAAAATTGCAAGTCGATAGACATTTCTACAAAATTAATTTTTAGGTTTTTATATTGTGCAAAACATTAATAAATGAAATGTTCATGACTACACGTAAGTAGGTAGGTGGTATGAATCATTACGCTTATGTGGTTTGGTCAGCTACCGACCGGCATGCACCATGGGAACACTTTGCCAATTATTCTATCCCTCCTCTCAACAAAGCGTGATGTTCGATATGGATTAAAATTAAAATCTTATTTTATTTTAAAATTAATAATTAATTTTAGTAATATATTTCAAGTAATTCACAAATTTTCAACTATACATTTCATCAAATTTTATTAAAATTTATTAAATATATGATTTTAATCCCCAATAAACAGGGACTTAAACTTATGCCTTCTGCCTTTATTTCGAAACTTATTCATCAAGTTTTGATAAGAATAACAACGTATTTTTGTAAGTTAAAATGAATTAGAAGAAACCAAACAATTGGTGAAAAAAGTGAAAATAAAAAATAAAAAATTAGAGCAAGCTTAAAAAGGTTTGCTCTAAAGTCTAAAGTTCAAACTTTCCAACAAATTTTAGACAAGCCACCAAACAACTTTCTTAAAAGTTGCTACACTTTTAGGTTTTAAATCCAGAAGGAACCCTATTTGCCACAATCCTTCCCCACACCTAAAACTCTCACATCAATTCGAAAAACTTAAAGTGAAATTATGCCCCGTTTGTCCTTATTAAATTTCATTCCATTTTTCTTTCTCTTATTTTTAACCACACAATCTTTCATAAAATAATATTATACGTAAATTGAAAAATTTTCATTCTTTTTCAACCACTCATTTAAAAAAAAAAAAAAACTACTCCATCCATTTTTTTTCCAAAAGATGGGGACCAAACGGGGGCTATAAGTTTACAACTATTATAGTATCTGTGTAAATCGTAGCAAGCAGCTTTTTCATAGTTTCCCCATCTCATCTGACCTTTTTTTTTTTTTTTTTAACTACAATTCCACATTACTTTGATTCTCAATGAAAGATTTGTTAGGAATTGAAACTCTTATTTTGGGCTCTATTTTAATGAAGTTTTGAAAGAAATGTATTTTGAAGGATGTGTAGTTAAAAAATAAATAAATACTTTGAGTTTATGTATAGCATTATTTTATTGAAATATGTAGTTAAAAAAGAAAGAAAAAAGAAAAATGCATTAAATTAAAATGGAGTCCAAACAAGGAAAAAAATTAAAATTTCGGTAGATTTTGCTAAAAGTTAATGAAATGTGTTGTCAAAAAAATGATAAAATTAAAAATTGTGGATCTTATGATATGTATAGTCGAAAATGAATTGGGCTAAAAAATGTATAAATATAAAATTAGTTTGGTCCCCATTATTTTTATTTAAAGAAATGTATTATGAAATAGTGATTTTCTAAATAACATGTGGTTAAGAAATAAAAATAAAAATTCTAATTACATGTAAAATTATTTTATGAAAACATATTTGATTGAAAATCGCTTTTAAGAAAAATGGAGATCAAATATAAGCTTACTCTGATCACACAATTATTGATATACGCCTAATACAAAATAATGGCGTCATATTAAAAAAATTATAAAATTTTATATTTATTTTTAATTCTACATAGCTAACATATTTAAGCAACAAAAAACTGAGTTGAGATTTACTATCTAATATGCTGTTAATTTAATTATAAATTGACATATCATGAAAATTTACAATTGATGTTGAGGTCGTAAAATTAAAATTGATAATAATTTTAATTTTTCATGATGTGTTAATTTGTTATTGGGTGGATAACAAATTAGGCAGCTAAAATGGACAACAAATCTCATTTCCAAAAAATTAGGGTGTAATTTCATCAATTGATTTGACGTTGTAATCGATCATATTTTTTTTATCAGGATAATGTTACTTAGCTTCAGGTGTTTAACACTAATTGAAGTGATAGCACTTGTAACATTAAATTAGAATTTCAATTAAAATAAAAAGAATTATGACTTATTTAATAGGATATATGATATGTTACCTTTAAACAAAGGGTCAACTCTATTAGTGGGAGATAGATTATTCTATTTGTCAACGCTCGTGGACATCGACTAAGAGAGCGAGACTATTTAATTACCATAGTCTCGTTCACAGTGGATTATAATCGAAAACGACAATTATTGTCACTAATTAAAATTTAAAAATAAAATAAAAACTGTCACACGATATTCGCTGCATTTATAAATTCTCCAAAACAATCTTTCAAGCTCCATTCTTGGAAAATAGTGTACACGCAAAGATACATACATGTTGAAAATATATATATCATATAGCTGTATATATGCGTGAGTATATATATAGCTATATAAGCGGGATTGCCGGAGAAGAAAGTAATTCTGGTGAGATTTTCGCCGGGAAAGAGAGTTAACATAGAATTTCTTTTCTCCGGCGAAGAATTGAAAATGAAGAAAAGAAGCACGAGAAGCGATTCGAGGCCGCCGGCGAATGGAGATAGACTGAAACTGGATAAAAAGAAGGGGAAATTTGAGAAAAAGTTGTTGAAGTACGAGGATTTACCAGAGTATTTGAAGGATAATGAGTTCATTAGAGACTATTATAGATGTGAATGGCCTTTGAAGCATATTGTTCTTAGCCTTTTCTCTTTGCACAACGAAACTCTCAATGTTTGGACGTAAGTTTATTTGATTAACGATTCTCTGTCTCGAGCAGTGTTTTCAATCATTCGAAGAAATTTCAATGGTCATAGTGTTATTTCAATTTTAGATCTGATAGTTCTCGAACTATGATTTAATTATTTCTGAAGTAGATTTAATTCCTGCAAAATGTTCACAGTCCAGAAAGTTTAATTAATTTGGAATCTGTTTTTTTATTTATTTTTATTTTTTAAAATTTTTTTCAGGCATTTGTTAGGTTTTATCATATTTGTTGGATTGACGGTAATGAGCTTGACAGAGAAGAAGACTCTGGAGAATGTGATGGCAAGTTTCGTTGGGTAATTTCGCATACTGTTGGAGGAGTTTTTCGTCATTTGATTTCAATTTATTGGAGCCTATTTACCTGTTTTAACTTTTGATTGACACTAATAATTGAATTTGCAGAGGGAATGAACATGAAGACGATGAATCAATCTAACAGTTCTGATTCTTTATTTTCCGTAAGTTTTGTTCTTAAGTTTTTAGCCTTGGGTCAATTGGGTGAAATGATATTTCTGGCACTTCACGTGAAGATCATAACCACTTTTTGGATATATCATTTATCGAAAAATTGGAACAAATGTGGGACCAAATTATCACATGTTTATAGGAAGTTGAGCTCAATGAGGAATCTGGTCTGTTCCGTCGGGTCCGATCCATGTGAAGCTATTTTATTTTTAGCCCATGTTTGACATATAATGAAGTTTTTTGAATAGTGATTTTTAAAAAATATATGCTTAAAAATTAGGGAAAATTTTTGAATTTATGTATAAAATATTTTATTGTACGATTGTGTGATTAAAATAAGTATGAAAAAGGAGTTTTAAAATAATAGTTGTCAAACAAGGGCTTATTTTCTTTATTTTTTCGAAAGATTTTTTCTTCAAAAACCAAGAATAATAAATAACTTGTTGTCTGATGGCCATTATAAAGAGAAATTGGGGAAAAATTATATGAGGAGAATGTGTAATTAAAAGTAGGAAAAAATTATGGGTTTATATGCAAAATAATTTATTATGTGAATGTGAGATTGAAAATGAGTATAAGAATAAAAAAGTTTTCAATTAAATATAGTCAAACATGGCTATATAATATGAAACTAAGAAAAAGTACTAACAAATGGGTAGGATATTTTTTTACTGTGAGTTAACTTTTCAAATTGTTTCAATTATTAGAATGAGTTCTTGTATGAAGGGTTTGTACAAATTAATCAACAAAATTATGAACTATTAACTTCTTACACTTCAGTTCTGCTCAAACAATGAATCTGGCACATAATGCACATGCGATGATTGAGTTTTTAATGCTCTATCTGATTAGACTTGTCGAGTCTCATCCAGTATTCTTCAGTTTGCTAAGTCGAACGCATATATATATATATATATAGTCTTTAACTCGATACATGTTTGATGTGCAGAAATCCTACGTAGGACATATCCCCAAGCCATCAATCTTACATGCAAATGCAGACTCCAATTCACTTCCTACATGGCCTTGGTTTGTTTTCTTAGGAGGAGCAATGAATTGTTTGATCTTTAGCTCAATCTCCCATCTCTTCGCCTGCCACTCCCAACGTTTCTACTTGTTCTTCTGGCGCCTAGATTATGCTGGTATATCTCTCATGATCATCTGCTCATTCTTCGCACCAATATACTATACGTTCTCAAATCATCCACATTGGCGCCTAGCATACCTAAGCTCAATCACATTAGTAGGAATTCTTGCTATTATCACCCTCCTTGCACCGGCTCTCTCCAGTGGTCGTTTCAGGGGTTTCAGGGCAGCCCTCTTTCTTTCCATGGGATTTTCGGGTGTGATTCCGGCTGCTCATGCACTAATCCTTCACTGGGATCACCCACAAATACTTGTTGCACTCGGATATGAGATAGCTATGGGACTTCTGTACGCGGTTGGTGCTGTGTTTTACGTAACTAAGATCCCAGAAAGATGGAAACCTGGGACATTCGATATCGTAGGACATAGCCATCAGATTTTTCACATTTTGGTTGTTGCAGCAGCACTTACACATTGTGCTGCCACCCTCGTTATCATGGAATGGCACCGAAACTTACGAGCCTAACCCTCCCCTGCCCCAAATTTTTTATTTTTATTTTTATTTTTATTTTTGTTGGAACAGATGCGAGTTTTGTGTTGTATATTGTAGCAGTCCATATATTACTAACATTTACACTACTGTTTCTTGCATATAACAAGTCATGCAGCTACTGAACCTTGATCTTGAGCAGTTAAATTAGCCATAATTTCTTGAACTTTCGGAGTAAAACAGAGAGTTTGTTGCACAAGAGTTGAGCAGGGTAATGTCTGTAAACTTCTTGAAGTTTCAAATATGTTTGGCTAAGTTTCAAATTTAAACTTTTTAATTTTTAAGCATGTTTAGATGCTACTTTCTTATAACTAAAGATAACTTTGTTCTTTTAACACTAAGGTAAAAGACTTATTTCCAAATATGATTCAACTTTGGTCAAATTATTTTTTATCTTAAAAGTTATTTGTTTGTTTGTTTGTTTAAGAAACAAAGCTGAACGTGAACCTGAATCTGAATCAGAAAAAGCCAAATTGGTAGCATTTAACATTCATAATCCTTTTAAGGAAACTATCAATTAACCTCAAAATTCAATGGACACGTGGTCAATAAAATTTCAGCCACCTTTCCTCCACGTGAGCACAACCTACATGCTGAAACACATCATTAGAAGGAAGGGGTCATCGGCTGCGAAAAAGGTTCGATGACCGTTAGAACTCCGACTCTAACAAATCTTCACGTTGACACGAATTCTAATGCAAGAAATAAGACTTTACTCTTGAACAAAAACTCTCCACATCTTCCAAAAAGCCCCCAAGGACAAACTCAGCAATAAATACCAGCCAAGTTCAAGCAATGTTCTAACTTGACTACTAGGGAGTGACTTGGTTATCATATTAGTAGGAATTTCTCGGGTACCAACTTTTCTCACAAAAATATCAAATTCTACATTGAGCTGGGTTTATACCTTTCTTATCTCTCCCTTTCCTGGGTTGCTACGAACTTTTCTCACAAAAATATCAAATTCTACATTGAGCTGGGCTTATACCTTTCTTATCTCTCCCTTTCCTGGGTTGCTATCAACATTATCATCAACATATAAGAGTAGATATACAAACGACCCATCACTATACTTCTTAAAGTAAACACCACTATCATAACTTCTTCTCTTGAAGTCATAAGTAGTCATAAATGAGTCAAACCTCTTATACCACTGAACAAGTTTCCAACTGATAGCACAAACACCAATAGTAAAAATATACCTTGTAAGAGACCTTCTCGTATCAAGATTTTCAACAAAATCAAAATCAAAACGACTAACTATCTCTGTAGAAGGTTCTTCACTGGACAATTCAGTTTTCCAACTGGCTTTTCGAATTCCCCATGTGTAGTTATTATAATGTTTCAATAAATTTTGCTTGATAGATGCTCCCAAAAAGTGAGGAAGTGATGAATCTGTAGTGATGAGGGCAGGGTGATGAATCTGCCGAGGACTAATTTGGTGAAAAAGATTAGGAGTGAATAGGTAGGCAACAGAGGTATAGACGAGATTTGGTAATGGAAAGAAATTAGGGTTAAGAAAGTGGGATAAAAGGGAGACGAAAGTGGGCTTTTAATGTCAAAATTAACGTGGGCCACATCTCGCCATTCAGTTCGGATTACAATTAACCCAAATCGATTGGGTCGATTTTGAGTGAGTATTGACCATGACTCTTAATAGCAATTGTGTGGATCATGAAATTGATTATAAAATTCTTATGTGTGGGTCATCATACTTTGAACATATTGATCATAAAATTCTTATGTGTGGGTCATCATAAAATTCTTTGGATGGTGGGTGTGGTACCAATTGAGAAGAGAGGATGAAAGTTGAAACCTAGATAATGAGAAAGAGAAGAGACGAGGAAAGGGAGAGAGATGAAATAGGGTTATGGATTTGGAAATAAGGTAATAAGGAAATGAAATATTTGAGTAGATAAGAGAAAAAAATAGAGGAAAATACAAAAATTTTAGAAGGACGTGAAAATTTTATGAGGGAAATCGAAGAGCATAAATGATAAGTGTGAAAAGAAATCGATTGAATGGTGAAATCGGACAGTGAGAAATCCAATAATTAGTGAAACAAGAAAAATAAGAAATTCTTCACATTGGAGGAGTAATGGCACCAAGTGTTAATTTAAATTTACACCATTTGATGCGAACCCCGTAGCAATGGAAACTACGAAACCCACAACGAGATTGATGCGAAACCCAAGAACGTCAATACTAACCCGGTTTTGGATCTTGAACCCCAAGAATTGAACCAAGAAACCCTAGATTAGTGAAGAACCTAAAACCCCTTGATTACAATTGAAAGAACCCACAATCCGATTGATAGAACGCTACAAGAAGTTGAATTTTGATAATTTCCAAGATTGTTTAAGAAGAACAATTAAATTGAAAGAAGAAATTTCTCTCTCTATAATATTAATTCAAAGTCAAAAGTTCAAAGGTTTTTACAATGAAAAGATATTCTCCTATTTATACTAATGAATAAAAACGTCCAAAACCATCAAATTATGGTAATAATTTGATTCCATAAGAATTCTATCGAAACTAGGAAATTCGGCCAAAAATAGAAAAATCGCCAGTTTTTTTTGGCCCATGTGGCCGCATGGTATAAATCCATGCGGTCGCATGGTTTAACTTGAGTTGGCGTTTTTGTTTTTGGGAACCATGTGTGCGACCGCATGGAATTTTGCCTGTGCGGCCGCATGGTCTTATTTTTTGCCTCCACTTTCATCGCTTGATAACAAATTGATCCAAGTTGATTCGGCCTTCGATCCGAACATGAAAGTTGCTCCATTTTGAGTCCCAAACATGGTTCCATCCATGGTTTCTTGAACTAGCAATCCCATCGCTTGTTTTACTTGCTTTTCCCTTGATCGTGTCATTGGTCCGCCATCAACTATCAACGGGTTTCGTCTCGCACTTGCCTTCGACGGGCTCGACTCCTGGATCATATCATCCCCTCCCTCTTCAAAAGGATTCGTCCTTGAATCTAAACCTGCATCAAACAGAGAGAGATCAGATACATGAAAAGTAGTTGAAACATGATACTCACCTGGTAAATCCACTTTGTATGCATTGTCATTGATCCTCTCGATGATTTGAAACGATCCATTGCCTCGTGGTTGCAATTTTGACTTCCTCTGTTCTAGAAAACACTCTTTTCTGAAATGCACCCAGACTCATTCTCCAGGCTCAAATGTAACGTGTCTTCTTCCTTTATTTGCTTTTGATGCAATCAGCTTTCCTTTCTCTTCGATCTGCATCCTGACCTTTTCATGGAGTGTTTTCACCATCTCG